GCTTAACCGTCAAAATACTGCCGGAGCTTAAGCCCAACTCAATAATTTTATGAAGTCTTTATCATTCCGCGAAGAAATGAGTTCAACAAGCCATTTGTAAAAAATCACTGCAGCAAAGCTACTATGAGAGTGACAAAGTCCAACCTCCGTTTATCAGTTTCAGAACCGTAAGTTTAAATCATCATGTCTTGTTTCCGATGAACTCGAGAGCCGAAACATTTCTGACTTCAAACTAATTCCTGGTAATTAACATTACATCGAACAACAAAATCCGTTTTAGCTTTCTAGGTGTTCTGGTTTCCGCAGAAAGAAAAACAGGTTATTCAATAGTTCACTGTTGACTATCCTAGATTTCCAACAGGAAGGTTTGGTTCAGGTTTGTACACTGGTCAAATTATGTTGCAATAAAGCAGACCAGGTATTCATTTTCTGAAAACTGTCAAGAACAACGGTAACGTTCAACAGAAAAACCAACAGTCAACACAATTAACCGTGGCAGAACCGCTCTGTTCGGTCGATCAGCTAAAGAGGTTACAAACAGAGATTCTGCTACAAGTCCCTCATAGGGGCTGTTTGCTACGGTATCCCATCGTCACCTTGTTGGAGACACTCAAGAGGCAGATCATGGAATTTACGAACGACACAGGATATTGGATGAGACGTGTCAAGCGTGGCAGTTCTCAACGCCACAGCCGCCAGAAGCAACGGTTCGTTAACGCAACGGTCGTAATGCAGTCACACACAACTCGTGGTGAATATAAGCTCTCACGAAAGCAACAACCAAGTTATAAAAGAAAAACGTACTTCAATTACGCTTAAGTTATGGACGTGCTACCGGCCACGGTGACAATCCATCGGGATTTCTGAAGCCTGATAATCCGCGTGGAGATAAGGTTGTTGCTTTGCTTCCAATCTATACACATCCTTCATGAGCCAACCTCACTTTCTTGGATTGGTCTCAATCAGAAATAATCATTCTCCCTTCGAAGGACAGGCGACGTAATGAAAAATAATTTTTATCTACTTTCAGGAATAACACCACGGGGACTCCGTACCCTTCTATGCAGGTTTCCACTATGGCTGTCGTCGAAACTAAGAGTGCTTAGAAAATACTGCGAAACACAGTCGCTGGCGCTTACAGTAGCTTCAGCGGTAGTCCCGGCTCAATATCAGCAATCGGAATGGTAGGATGAGTAATTGTAAACAGAAATAGTGCCTCCCTTCGTATAATATACAAGCTGTCATCCGGATTTTCAATCCACCCATACCAGTAAAAACTAAAACTGATTCATTGTTGAGTCTAAACCAGTTAACCAGTAGCGAGAGGGGTGGAACAATGGAAAAGAGAACGAAGAGGAACGGAAAAATAACATCCTTCGCTCCATCTGGGTGGTCAACACCGAAAGATCCGCATAATCACGCGGCTGAAATTTGTTCCTTCATGTCATCAGAAAAAAATCTCCCTAAATGCGGGATAAGCCTTGTCACTGTCACGCCCTAACTACTGCTCATGTCGATACCTGACAAATAAGGGTTATGACGTGAAGTCATTCGTAAAATTAAGGTGCTCTCGCAAACGCGTTGCCCTTTGCATTCGGGAGTTCTCAGTCAACATTCTGTTACGTCATACAAACCGTTGGTCATAATGGACAGTAAACAACAATAAACAAACAAACAATACTGTATCTGTAATTACAAAGTAAGATATCGATTCGTTATTTACTTAGTAACGAATATTTCTTGGCTTTTCTTTATTCACCGTTCAAGGCAACGGCTTACTATGCAGAAAGAAATCATTTATTCATTAATACCTTCGTCGTCATCATTTGTATAAATGCAAATGCAATCAAACAACACGACTTCAAAAGAAATAATTATGTAGGCATTAAAGTGAAAAGATCTAATTTCTGCCACAAAAGACTGGAAGAACATGAGAATTTGTAACCGTGGAAATGTCGGTCTTCACTGCACTATCATGATGATCCAATGTCATTGGTCTCCTTTTTACATGAAGTCAACGGTGGAAGAATGATCTTCATTTCCATGCCATCTGCCACGAGTGGCTTCTTTTAAAAGCAGACCAGCCACGTGGCAAGCATAGTGCAAAGTCTCCTGTTTCCTCAATACAAAGTGGAGTGCTACTCACTCATCAACATCGCAAAGATGCGTGACACAACCGGGACTCCAACCCGCTAGTTCTCGTTTCTGAGTCCTATGCGAAGCTCCAGCAGCCAAGCAGTCCCGGGTCCCGGTTACAACAACAACAACAACAAAATCGTTGCTTTGCGCATCGCCACAAACACACAGAAACCTACCTTTGTATTGGCGATGTACGCGGCTTTTACAGTCAACACCACGGCGTTAAGTAGATTCTTCGCCGACTGGATCAAAGAGGTGGCCGACTCTAGGGCGTTGGCGATCAGCTGGTCACCTACCTGCTGCACGTCGGCTTTCACCCGCGAGGTGATGTTCAGCTGATGACAATACAGCGTTATGCGTTGCAGATAGGCCAGGAGATCTTTTTTCGTTTCAGACTCAACACACTAAAATCACAATTACTGATACTATTGAACTGAACGTTTTTCTACTATATGGCATACTGAGAAGAAATTCTCTTAAGATCAAGGTTTATACTGTAGAATAGTAGTATTATCATCATCTGGAGAAACTTCCAAGTGGCAGTATGGATCATCAGGAGGATTAACAGTACGTACTGCAGCACTGCAAGAGAACCGCTCATAAGAATCTAATAATAGAGCCTACACAACCTATCAGGTCTCTCTACGACCGCATGTACTGATCATTCCGCTTCAAAGAATGATAATCACCAAGCAACTGTTCTTTCCATGTTCCTCACGATCAATGGGAATAAAAGAAGGATCACTGGAATCTGCTGCAGCACTGCCAAAGAATGCAGCTAACGTGAATGCACTAAATCGAAACAAGCTTATCTGAAGCGCAATCTAATAAAATACCTTAAAATAGACCGACAACCGTTTTTAGCCATAAGTGAAAAGAGAGACTTCTCAGGACACGAAATATTTAAAGTATTTCTTGAAACCGGTCATTGCCCACGTTGACAGAGTCCAATGACACTATCTGGACATGTT